ATTTGTTTATGAATACATCATTTTAAAACAATAAAGCAGCTAATAAAAGGATATGGTGCAGAACAGGCAGAATGTTGCCAGAATATGAGCATGATTATCATTAATTGTTAAAAATGAGAAAGAGGAGAGGAAGCAAAGAACAGGAACATGCTGCATTAAACTCAAATTCATCCTTGTCTATATTGTGTTGTGGGGCTATATTCACTGTAATCATGTTTCTGTTTGCATGCACATAACCCTTGCTTATTTGTATTTTAATAAGCCATCATTTAGAATTAGTTAAAGATAACAGGACTCTTTGTGTCAGAAATTGCCTGGATTTTCTGTTTTTTTAAAAAATAATTTTAAAATATATATCTAGTGCCTCAAGCACAGAGACAGAAGCATAAGGACCTTTAAAGTATAATGGTTTAGAACAGCATGTCCCAAAGGTGCTTTTTCAAGAGGCAACTGGACGTTCTTGTTTTTATTTGAAGACGTTTCACTTCTCATCCAAGTGGCCTCAACAACTACAAATGACCAGCTGTCTGCAAGGAATATAAATCCTTCCATTCTCCACCATCCAGTCACTATCCAGTCTGATTCTTGGATGAGAAGCAAAACATCTTCAAACAACCCCACCCCACCCCCCCACCCCAAAAAAAAAAAGTCAACTTGCCTCTTGAAAAACCATGACCTGGGTGACTGAGATGTTTAGAACAGCAGTTCTTAAACATGTTGGCCTCAAGACTACTTTACATTTTAAAAAATGATTGAGGATCTGAAATAGCTTTGGTTTATGTGGGTTATATTTATTAATATTTACTGAACTAGAAATTAAAACTGGGAAATTTAAATTTTTTGACTTTGCAGTCTCCTTGAAAAAGTTTTGATGACCTGAAAATCATATTTTGAGAACAAATTTGGACTGACTTAAGTTAATGTATTTCTATTTTATACCCATCTTTTATAGAGTTCAGAATGCATACACATAGTATTCTCTTCCATTTTATTTTCATATCAAAGGCTGAGAGACTGTGAATGGTCTACAATTACCTAGTGAGTCAATGGATGAATGGGATTTGAATTCAAATTTACACAATGATAACCCAGTACCCTTAACTGGACGACATAACATTGGATACAAATGTGTGTTTGTGATAGAAATGAGGAAGATGCAAGATAGTTAACAGGGAGAATAAAGATTTAAAAGTCGAACTGTTCTCAAAAGAGCTTAAATATATAAAAAGTAACAGAGCATAATCTCAAAAATACATCATATCAGTCATATCATTTAGAAAATATATCATGATTTGATGCAAATCATGATATATTTTCTAAATGGTATGACTGATATGATGCATCTTTGAGATTACTTAATCTAATTTGCATTTCAATCTAAAACAATTGACAGAATGTGCACATCACTTTTCCATAGGCCTGGCCAGAATTTAGACGTATTTCATGACTCATCTATAATTTATTCTACAATGTTCCTAGCCTAATGTGATTCTCTTCAATGACAAAGAGGCCCAATTCTTAGTCTTTATTCCACCCCCAAAAAAGAAAGAAGCCTGAAATAAATTGCTTTTGGCCACATACCACATTGTTTTCTTGTTTTTAAATAACAATAATCTCCACTTCTTATGTCACCATCATTTCATTCTCTTGTGTTGATTACAACTTTTCCTCTTGCAATTGTACTTAGGGTTATATGCTAAGAAATATAATGCTACCCTGCCAAAATAAAATCATCAAGTTGATTAAAACACACAGCATGAATTTAACTGAATTTCAAAACTAAAACAAGTATTGAATTTTAGCAGGAATGATTACTCATGTGACATACAACAGTATTAGGTTTGTTTCAGAGGTGGTATTCAGCAGGTTCTGACCAGTTCTGGAGAACCGGTAGTGGAAATTTTGAGTAGTTTGGAGAACCTGCAAATGCCACCTCTGACTGGAGATTTTATAGTATCCTTGCCCTGCCATGCCCACCAAGCCACGCCCACAGAACCAGTAGTAAAAAAAAAATTGAATCCCACCACTGGTTTGTTTCACTATTCATGCCTTTTAAGAATATAGACCTTTTTGCCTAGACATAGATAGTTTTTCCTCATAAAAGATTTTCTCTTCCCTCTCTCCCATTCCATTCCCATCTCCTGATTTTAGCCCTTTCCAAAGGAAGATTTTACTCACTTTATTTGCTCTCCAGATTGTTTTTTCTCTTCTCCCTGTCTGGTAATTTGGTGAAAATATTTTTCTTTCTCTTGCTTATAGTTTGAATTAAAGGTGAAGATTGAATCAAATTGCAACACGGAGAATGTATAATTTAAGCACACTAATATTAACACTATATAGCAGTGACCTATATTCAAATACAGATTTTTAAATTGAATTAATAAGTTCAGCCATGATCTCTTTTTTTTTCTCATGGCAATTACCCTGAGAAAAGGAGCTATGCCAAAGAGCTGCGTGCCATTCTTCAGGAAGACGTGGGTTGTATCCCTGATTTTTTAAACCAATGTTTGCATGTTCTCTTTCATTCCTTTCCCTTTTTCAAGTCTGTTTGCTGCCTACATAGAGTCATCATAAAGCTGACAAGTTGCTTAAAAGTAAAGCAAGAGGTTAAGCTGAATTTCAAGTTAATAATTATAATTATCTAAGGTGCAAAACCTTTTAATGACAGACTGAAGAAGGCAAGATTCTCATCCTCCCTCTCACTTGAGCTGCATGCTCACTGGATGGATGGGTGGATTTAGCAAACACATATGGCCACCTGACTTAATCAAATTGTTCTGGGCAGCTGACTGTGCACACACACACACACAAATAATCAACTCCAATTGTAATAACAGCAACACAGGGCAAAGCACACACTCTGGGTCCTATTGACATCCTGGCCCTAAAGCCTGTGAGATCTGAATATTGCTACTTTTTCTTGCAGATTTCCACTCCAAATGATGCTCTCTAGATGACAGCCCATGGTTGCTCTCTTGGTTAAGAATAATGGAATGTATAGTCCTTTGGGAAAACACGAGGTTGATAATAATTTATTGAATTGTTAAAGGAAATAAGTATATGATGCTTCTTAACCATATATGCATCAGTAATTTCAGTCTGGGATAGATATCAAAATTGCTTTGGTGCCTTAAAGGATGATCTATGCTGAGAATAAGCAAGAAGGTCTTTTGAGCCATGACCACTGTCCTTAAGATATTTCTGGATTAATTGGCCTTTGATAGGAAAGGAGTCCAATGAATGTTTCCAGCATCATGGGACTATTCCATTAAGCCTTATGCTGTGCTATGCAGTAGAGCTGTTTCGTCCCCGCTGCCTTTCCTTTTAATGCAGACAGGCAACCAAGCAAAGTCATGAAAATTTGGAATGAGTCATCAGTAAGTCATTTTCTGCTTTTAAAGTGAGTCTGATGAAACCAGCATATAAACATATCTGGATAAAGCAAACTTTGTTGACGGATATTGTATCTGACTTAGAAGGTAATGTTAAGAGTTTTCTGGATAGAGCAGATCATGTTCTCCGCTTATGGAGTGTTCTTATATCTTAATTTCTCTGTGGAGTTTTGAATTACTTCCACAACAGTTTGCAGTTTTCCATATTCATGGGGTTTCGTGTCAAAACTTTGAAAATGTGAAATTCAATGAAAAAATATATTCTTGCCCTGTTATCCCAGATGTTGTCCATGCATGCATAAACACACATATGCCTAAAGTCAAGCTTAATGCAGATACACAAATCATACCAAGATCACAAGCCATCCTACACAGATGACACTTCTCTGTGAGATTAAAGATGCATTTGATTCACCATCATTCACAGGGTGAATGCAGCAAGCAGTCGCCAGATTTTTAGTATGATAAATTTCACAACTGCCACCATGAAAAGACAAATCCACCAACATAACTCTTGCGAATATAGAGACTGTTTATCTTCTACTGGTTTAAATGATAATCCTGCTGTGATCCTTCTTTAACATGAGATTATCATGCCATGGTTAATTATATTTAGATTTTTATGATACTGCATATGGAATTTATTTGGAAAATTACTCAAACTCTTATCACCATATAATCCATGTGGGCTGGGTCTGTCAGATAACAATTATGTAAGAACTGTAATTATACACTCCTAGCCTTTAAGTTACAGGAGCTCTCATGCAGATTTGCAATAATTTTTAGACCATTAAGTTCATGAGGTTAAGATTGGATTAAGTAGGAAATAAGAGCTTTCCAAAGAAGGTTATGCAAACATATCAATTTCATTCTGATGTGCAACAATCTGGCTTATCAAAAGGCATATGTATGTAATATATAGTAGCTGAGTTTAGCAAATATCCAGGAGTGGGATTCTACCCATTTGGCCTGGTTCAGGTGAACCGGTAGCCTGAGGATCATCTGTAAGCAAACAGTACACATGCATACAAACACACACAGAGTAGAAACCATTTATTCCAGGATGCTGTATTTTTCCAAAGCTTCATTCTTAATTTAATGTTAAAGAGCTGAGATCTAGATAAGGGATGTATAATGACCTCCCAGCAACTTCTAGCAGCTTTTTCTTTATTTGAGAATCAGCACACGTTATTGAAAGACACACTAATATAGCCTTTAAGCCCTTGATGATTACTGGAAATGCAAAGAAATGAAGTATGTTGAAGTATACTGTTGCAGTTCTTAATTGCTGCAGGTAGAAATTATACACAGCATTTTTAAATTCTTGCCTCATTAGGGACTGCAGTATCAACATGGTAAGTGGTACCTGACCATTCAGTTTTCTTGAAAAAACAGGAGATGATTGCCAATTACTGAAAGACTGTAGAGGGGTTTACAGTTTTCAGACATACCCAGTTCACAAAGTTATTGTAGAACAAACAGAATGGGAACTGGCTAATGTAATTTTCCTCTGTTGATTTTTGTGGAATATGTCTTTGATGTGCTATCTTTTTGTATGGTTTTAATGTAATTTTTTTTTTAAAAAAATCTCTTTATTTTCTTCTAAAGGGTCGTGATTACTGTTCAGAAGAAGAGGATATCACATAGTGCCAGTTCTGCCAATCGAAACAGGAATGCTCCTGTGTAAATAGATTACGGTTCAATCCAGATCTTTTGTGGGAGTCTTCTCAAGTGAACAGCACTACATAACAAACAGTTATTTCCACATTGTATGCTCCATTCAGTTACAGTGTTTTCTTAATGACCATACAATGAGCATGGTTCAAAGGAAGAAGAACAGCTTTGATGGAACTGCCTTTGCTGATTGAAACCTGTTGCAAGTTTTCATTTCCTTGTGCCCAGGAACACCACAAGACGTTTGACTCAAACATCTAAAAGACACTGTAGCTTTCACTTGGGCTATTGGCCTGTTTTCTATTGGCTGAGGTGGCGTTGTACAAAATCTTCCATAACCAAGCAGCTGAATCTTCCAGTTCACTCTACTCATCAGCCCCAGGGGCATGGAGTTCTTGTTATACTGACAGTTTAGAGCTTTGGAAAAATGGGATGCTTTACCATGATGAACTTTGTTTTCTGCTAGGAAGAAGTTAACAATTAAAAAGCATGTTGTCATAACAGATACTGAATATGGTGATGCAGGAGCAGAAATCTGTTTGTTTTTTTTAAAGCCGCCAGTTTCTTTTATTAACTATTTCAATCAAGGAATATACTTGCAGTATTGGCTTTGCTGACCGCAGATGGAAATTATGATCACAATCAGTTTGAATCCCTCTCCCTTTCTCTCTCTCACACAATCTCTTTTTTTTAAAGAAATAAACATTTTACTGTTTTTAGGTATTCTTGTCTTATACCCATTCATACATCCCAGTGTGTTAAGAATAATTGGGAAAAGGGAGTTGGTAAAGGAGACCTTTAGAAAGATGATTTGAAAGGATATTATTTTCAAATGCTGTGTGCCAATTTGAGATGTCTGTAGAGTTTATTTTTCCATAATATAAAAAGTTGATACTCTCTCCTCTCAAAGGCAGATGTAATATTTTTAACAAATATTGTCATGAGTAAAAATGATCCTAAGGTTAAAAAAAAAAGAACTTTTGCATTTATTTTTTTTAAATACATTATAACTTAAGTATTTTATGAGCTTGGTAACGGATTCTGTCCTATGACTTTGAGGAACATAATCATAAAGGAAAATGCATCTTGCAGTAATGGAGGATGATTTTTAAAAACAACAACTCTCATTTGCCTAATTAGAATCTCATGATGGCAATCCATCAATAAAGAAAGCACATTGTCAATGGGATTTGTAAAATAATTAACATTTTATCCCATGGGAATGCACATGGGATCATAGGTAAAGGTAAAGGTTCCCCTTGCACATATGTGATAGTCGTTTCTGGCTCTAGGGGGCAGTGCTCATCTCCATTACAAAGCCAAAGAGCCCCAGCACTGTCCAAAGATGTCTCCGAGGTCATGTGGCCAGCATGACTAAATGCCGAAGGCACACGGAATACCGTTACCTTCCCATCAGAGTGGTCCCTATTTTTCTACTTGCATTTTTACATGCTTTCGAACTGCTAGTTTGGCAGAAGCTGAGACAAGTAATGGGAGCTCACTCCATTATGCGGTGCTAGGAATTCAAACAGCTGAACTGCTGACCTTTCTGATCGACAAGCTCAGCGTCTTATCCACTGAGCCACTGCGTCCCTTCATGGGATCGTATCTCCAACTAATTAATGAAGCTTAGTAAAGGATTTTAATCATATTTGTTCTTAAAATATAAGTGGTCCTCCATTTGCCATTTACTCAGTTGCAGCAAGTGAAGGGTGTCAAGGTTTTACTCTTTGACCTAGCAGCTGATTATTCACAGGTATGGAGATTTTGACTCACCCAACTTCAAGTAAACACAACAATGAAACATGGACTCCCAAAGACTGAGAAGCAGGGGTGGGATACAACAGGGGTTAACCTGTACAGGTTCGGAATTTACGAGGTTCAGTGATTTATGATGTGCTTCCCTGCACGCTGCGAGCGAGCCACGCACCTGTAAATCGTCATCAGCATGAAGCAGCCTTTGAAACAGCCCTCTTTTCCTGCTTTTTTAACTGCAGCTGTGCCTCGTTCGGCAACTGGAGTTGAAAAATCAGGAAATAAAGATCAGGTAAGAGTCCGGGTGAGTGGGTGGACAAAAGCATCAGCAGACATAGAATCGGTTCTATGTCTGCTGCTCTTCAGAGCTACCAGTTCTACAGAGGTGGACAGAACCGGTAGGAACCCACCCCTGCTGAGAAGGATAACAACTTCTTAGGTATTAATCTGTTGAATGATTCCTCAAGTATTTGGTGAGAGAAGGCAACAACATTGTCTGTTTCAAATCATTTTCTCTGCTGTAAAATACTTATGGTGGAATTGGTTCATTCCTTAACTTCAATTTGTCCATTATCACTAACTTTTGAAAAAAATCCCTTCCATATTTAAGCGTTGCAAAAAAATATTTTCCTGAGTGTCTTGCTTCCTCTTTTCCCTTTATACTTTTCAGTTTTCTTGGTTTAATTGGCTATTCTTTGTAGTGTGTATGAATATACTGTTTGGAAAGCTTGGTTTGGATTTTCATAGTCCATCCCATCCCCCAAATCCACCCCCTGGAACCTTTCCTTAACTGAGCTGGACCACTAAAAGCCCTTCCCACTGTCACTTACATAGGTTCAGCTCATCGTTTCTTGGTTTCTCTTTTAACTGATGTAATAGCTTGTATAGTGTTTTTTTTCATAATCCACTTGAAGGGCTTCTCTTAAGGTTTTTGCTACAAGTCCTCATCAATTTCATGAGCCCATAGTCACTGAATAATGAAATTTTTTCTTAAATTTATCCCGTGGTGGGATCAAAAGTCCCTTCCCCAAGACATCCCAAATGTGTCTTTTGCTTAGGCAAAGGGCATTGAATGGGTTCAGATGCCAATTGTCAAAATTTTGTGCTATAGTTGCATTGAAACTGTGTTTGACTTCAAAATACTCTCACTCCATCTGATATCAATTGCAGCCTTCATTGAGCTTCACAAACCACTTGATGCCTAGACTTCTCAGATTGAGGTATCAGTTACAGTTAACCCTTGCCACCTTAACTACAAAGTCACTGATATCTGGAAGGCACTTTCACTCCAGCACCAGTGCCTAAAGAACATCAATCAGAAGTCATTCTAAAACAAGACAGTTTGGAACATTGTCACCTTACAGGAAGATAGGCAGCATAAATAATAATAATGATGGGAAGAAGCTGTCTAAACAACATTTGGCTTTATAATGAATGATGCCATAGAGGCTGACCAGATGCTATGTGTGACCAGGGTTGACATAGCTAGACTGGTGACACCATGTCTGATGTGTAATTCATTCCAACTTATTGTAATATTTTAACTTGCATTTCTCTCAATGGAATTTTATGCGAAAGTCTTAGTTTCACATGATTCTAGCCTTCCAATCACTGATTAGTAGTGCATAGGGGAATGGCACCCTCCTCAATACTTTCATTCTTGGTCCCTGCCAAATTGAAGATGATACAGGTATAATTGGCTACTTTAAACTCAATATTATCACTATGAATATAATACTTTACTTATGTACTTAAAAATTAAAATACTTGGAAGAATTATTTTGCAATTTATCTTAGCACAATATTTATGCTATTCCTTAAAACAGCCAGGTTTCCAGAAAAAGACACAGCTGCTTTAATGAGTTGACTGAGTAAAACAAGTAGACTGTTAAAAGCAATTACAAAGCAGTTATGGCTTCAAACTGGTGAGGTATGACTGCTTTAATGAATAGCAGAGAAGGGCTGTGTTTGTGCAAGTTTTTGCAAAACATTTCTGAATCATTTTCAAACTGCACAGACTAATTCCTGCAGCAGATTTTGGCGCTGGTTCATGTCCTATGATTTTTTATAATATCTTCACCACATAGTTCCTACTCTTCGTTAAACAACAATGATTCATACTTGCTAGCAAGCTGCATCTATATAAATGTTCCATTTGTCAACTACCTTAGGAAATGTCACTTTAGCTTCCGGCAATGGTCCTGGATTTAAAGGACTATGTTTCTGATTATGAAATACATACATTTTCTCTTTTGTTATATCTAACCATCAGGTATCCTCCTTTGTTTCTGAGAATTAACGGCTTCATCCACAACAAGTACCCTATATGATTAAGAGTCCTGGTTTCACAATGAAGTAACATGTCATGGCTCAGGAATCAAATTTTGAATCTAAATCTGATCCTAAAGAAGCTGTTCCAGTTGAGTCTGGGATGTCAGTCTCTGAAAGGACAAAGGCAGAAATCGTATGAAGCTGATCAAATACAAGCACCATCTGAACAACTGCAAAAGTCAAGTGAAGATGACATAAGGCCTTCCAGTCACTACACCAGATAAGTAGAGAAGAGAGCAAGACAGTGAAGATCTAACTGACTCCTCGCCAAGCCAAGAAGTAAACCTGATTATTGACAGCTGGCTGCAACGTTATTTAAAAAACATCTCTGAAATGACTCTCTTGCTGGAAATAATATCTGATTTCACTCATGTATGACATTTGTGTGGATTCTACTTTTGAACCTCTGACTTTTGGACTAGCTGATAACAGGGCAATAAATTGCCCTGGCTCTCTGAAACCTGGGCTGATTTCAGACAAGTCTTCTATACATTTCTACGGGATTTCAAAATAAACTTTGCAGGCAAGCAAAGGGTAGAGACTTTTATCCAGGCATTTTCTGTGTTCCAATAGTCGTGACAAATTTTCATATTTCACAGGATATTGTCTTATTTGTTCCCTTCTCAGAACAGGTCAGTGAGTTGGTGTCTTTTATGTGCTACCATATATTTACTATTATTTTACAGCTATTGTGCATAGGAACCATGACAAATTAATGATAATAGTTAATACTTTGGAATTAGGAGAGAGGAAGATTCCACCTTTCAAGAGAACGTTTCTAAACACAAAATAATCATTTTCCGCTTAGATATAGCAATGGAATTTGGCCAAGAGAAATAAGCTACAGTAGCAACAAATCAGGGTAAAATTACAAACAGTAATGGAATTGAAATGCCAAATGAGCAAACAGGAGCCATTAGGATGATGCTTACAAGTAAATGGGCATTTTATAGTTGAATAACATCAAGCCTGGGTGGATTTAAAATGTGATTAGTAAAGAATGAATACAAAGAGTGAAAAAAGGGCTAAAGACAAAACTGAATGGTAGAAACATCATCCAAGTCATCAATACCCATGCCATACTTGTGACGTGATTTTAGGGCATATCAAATTTTTCAACTTTCAGTTTCTAAACATGAGGGGTGCTCAAAAGTTGTGACATGCCTTGGGGATTGTAAAAAATGTTTTGGTTTCTTTAATATAATTTAGATGTGTTTGGTAAGTAACTATATAAATATAACTTTTTAACATTTTGTTTCATTTGATACATTGCTGGAATTATTAACTGGACACAGGCTGAACTGGACAGTTTGGACTGAAAAATAAGAAAGTTAATGACTTCACTATGCATTATAGTGGAATAGAGACAGAGATTTACTTCAGGTCAAACAAACTGTCAAAGAAGAAAAACACACATTGGCTGATTATGTAAAAACAGCCAAAAAAGCATTTATGAAAGTTAAAAATTGGAGCTTACTGATTGTGCAGAAAACAAAACATGGATATCAATACAGTCAGGGGTGGGATACAACAGGGTTAACTACCGGTTTGGGATTTACAAGCTTCCCTGCACGCTGCGAGCCACGCGCCTGTAAATCATCATCAGCACACTGGGTGCAGAGAAGCAGCCTTTGAAACAGCCCTCTTTTCCTGTTTTTTTTTTAACTGCAGCTATGCCTCGTTCGGCAGCTGAAGTTGAAAAATCAGGAAATAAAGATCAGGTAAGAGCCCGGGTGGGCACGTGGGCAAAAATATCAGCAGACATAGAACCGGTTCTGTGTCTGCTGCTCTTCAGAGCTACCGGTTCTACGGAGGTGGACAGAACCGGTAGATACCCACCCCTGAATACAGTGTAATAAAACAACAGAATGCTGGCA